GAGAAATCTGTTGGCGCTTCATTTTGAGTACTGTATAGTAATCAATGCCGTAGCCAGCTATTGGGACAGTTGGACAGTCCCACACAATTTTTCGATTGAGTCCACAAAGAATGGGTCTACATTTTCAAAAATAGGTCTAAATTATGCTGTTTTAGCACAAAATGAGTCCTGTTCTTGAAAAATGCGTCCAGATTTCTCATATTTTCGCGTAAAATTGGTCAACTTTTAAGAAAATGGGTACGGTACAGGTTTTTCATATTTTTGAGTAAAATTGGTCAACTTTTAAGAAAATGGGTCAACATTATTTGAATTTACGCGTAAAGAGGGTCCACAATGATATTGTTCTGCACTGTTTGAAAATCCTTTCTACAGCATTGTATATAACATTGATGTGATGATGATGAATTTTTAAAAATGTAATTTTCTGGTCATCTAGAGGTACTATTTCCACATTAAACTCCATCGAGTCGACATCCATCTCAGAGTATGTCTTAGTGACTGCTGATGAGGCGGGAGTGCATAAACTTGTTTTTAGGATGTGATCTGGTTTTACATGCCCATTTTCGTGATTATGACTATAGTATTTTGGATAAAGAATGTTTTGAGCAGTGGTGGATTGAAGGCCCCTCCCCTAATTTTTTTTTAATGATAAAAAAGAGAAAAATATAGGCCTCCTATCCAAATTTAAGTCTGAGAGTGTAATGTCCAGGCTTCTAGAGGTGCCCTAATCATAAATGTTCTTACCTCAGCCCCAACCATGGTGGGGCTGAGGTGGGTGGTTCCTCAATCTGTAAAAGTCCCTCCCTGGGTCACCTCTCTTTTGAATTCTTGGATCCACCACTGTTGAGTTTTATATAATTATTGTTAGGCTTACTAATATTATTTATAATGCGTTGTTTATTGCAATTTTCACTTTATCATCTCAGAACAGCCCTAACAACTTTCAGAGCGCGCTACTTTCCAGGGGGGGCTTCCCCCCCCCCCCCGGGGTCCTACGTCTGTCTCTTATACCCATCTAGATGTGTATAATTTCAAAATCCTGGCTACGTCCCTGAGCTCTTAGAGTGGTTCACATCCTACGGATCCCTAATAAAAATAATTGGGGGTCCGCCAAGTCCAAAGAGTCCGCAGGTGGTCAAAGTAAAATATGGGGGTTCGCGAAAATTCTAAGCAGGGGAGGTGACCAAAGTGACGGCCAGAAAAAAACAGTGCAAAAAGGTAGGAAAAATATATGCAAGAAAAAAGGAAAAAAATCAGAACAAAAACAATGTCTTTTCCCAGTACTGCTGGAAAAGCCAATTAGTGGTGGTTGCTCGTTTGGGCTCTCTGCTGCCAATTCAGATAGCAGGATCATTGCAGGGTTTCAGATACGAGAGTGATGAGGTCAGTTTATTTTTGTTCATGACATAAAATGGCCATACAGTATTTTAATTTTTAGATTTTAATACTGTAGTTCTAAATCCAAAAAGGGTAGCAATAAAAAAAAGAACGGGATCCTATTAAGATGCATCAAAACTGAAAACCATGTTAAACTTAATGGAGACTGATAGACCGACTGCTGATGAATAGGTGGACTGACCGACCGACAATGCTAAGCTAAGATAGATTCGAATAGTTGATGCAGAAATTAGGTTGGTGATGCTGTACTATCTGTTTCCTTAGGGCGCTTATTCAAGAGGGGCGATTATTCAAACGGGGCGCTTTCGCACGAGGTACATTACAATTTTGAGTCTGACAGGACACTGTGCCATTTCCGGCCATCAAGAAGTGTCATATATGACAAATTCGTGGTGGCGTGTATGAGGAGCGGTTCAAAGCGTGTCGTTATTCGAATAAATTATAGTCCCTCTCAACCCTTCTCTATTCAAATTCCTGGATCCACTGTACCGGTAATGGTAATAATGGTAATGGTTGGAGACTTATATAGCGCATAATACATGGTATGCGCTGGCGTGTGCATTATTATTGTTATTACAACCCAACTAAAAAACGGTTTGCGTTATAATTTTGGGTTCTTATTTTTAAACTTTTATTGCAGAGCATCACAGTAAAATCCTTCTTTTTTTTTTACTTTAAACGTTTGAAGCATTGTACTGCTGCAACGCTTTGTTAACATTATTTCCTGACATGGCATAACCACAATTACATTCACAATTTTCGAGAATGTTTAAAAAAGATTTCTGTTTGCTGGGAAATTATTTAATTTTATTTGCTTCCTAATAATAATATCTAATAATAACTTTACTCGCCGTGCCACACGCTCATGCAAATATATTTTAAATTATATTATAAATAATTAGGCCTATATTATAAATAGCCTATTGTACGTACCTGAAAACTGAAAGGCCACTGTTAAAAAATAATAGCTTCAATAAAGATTATGTTTGAGTAGAAACTTCTTTCTTTTTATGCTATTCTTTTAAAAAAAACAAAAAAAAAAAACAAACAAACAAACAAAAAAACAAAAACAGCTTGTTTTATACAAATCTAATTCGTTACTAGATTGATTTTTTATGACTATAAGTGCCCATCGTCTTCCAAAAATGCAGATAGCATAGCATATTTTTTAAGTTTTGTACGACGGTGTAAGGCCCCATAAAAAATTATTAGTTTATCACCCTATCAAAGAATAAAAACTGATGAGGGAGGGAGGTTTTTTTTTTTTGGTTTTTTTTTTTTTTTTTTTTTTTTTTTTTTTCGCCCCTATTTTACCGATGTTCACAAGTAAATCAATGGTTAGGGACACATATATAAAAAGTCATAAGAGTGGAATCAAATTTATATTTTAAAAAGATGTTTTGTTGTACCAGTAAACATATTTGCAAGAAATCCTGAGCTTTTCAAGTGAAAAAAGATGGGAAAAGGACCGTTTGAAATAAAAATATGTTAATTGACAAAAAAACAAAAAAAAAACCCCGGATTTTCCCCAAAAGTGATGAGGGAGCGGGTGATAAACTAATAAATTTTTTTATGGGGATGTATATTAATGTGCATCCGGTGATTCCATGAAGATAATTAAAATTGCTCTAGCGCCACCTATGTTGCAAGATAAGCCAATCGATCCGAAGCTGTAAACGGTAAGCGTTATATGGGCACCATTTCCGTCAGGTCATGAATAATTCATGTCGATTATAGTTTGAATATTCATTTTCTGGAGTCGAGCGAAATTATCAATCTCACCAATGTACAATACAGCCAGGAAAACAAACTGGGCCATCTTTTTCGCAATGTCTCAGCTAAGTGATGATTCTTGCCCTTAAATATATAAATAATGATATTAACAGTGCTCTCGAGTGGGAACGGGTAAAGTGGTAACTATGCGAATGTCCTGCCATGCCTTGAGCTTGCTAACATACGGTACAGTGCAAGGGCCTACAATTTGTTTTTGAAAGCAACGATGGTCGTCAGCTTCGGACTCATTACCGCTGCGTCACGCGCTTCCGAAACAAATTTCGAAAGGCCAGACCCACCCACAGTCATGTCTCCCGTTTATTTTATTTTATTTTTTCAAAAATGTATTACCTTGGGTACTGTGTAGTTATTATTTTGGTACCGTGTGCATTTCCCAGTTGTTGTTGAGCGAAGTCACGCATGTCCGGTGATAAAATGCCCACGAGACGTGGAAAAAGACGTCATTAAAAAAAATCATGTGTTGGCCATGTTGTGGGAAAATAAAAAAAAATAAAAAATGGGTAGGTTGGTAGAAAAACTTTTATTTCTTAACTAAAAATGTGTTTATGTCTAAAAAGTAGATAGTACATAAAATTACAAAAAAAAGATCATTTTTAAATCTATATTGAAGAACAAAGCGATCGCCTAACACTGTCGCATCGCCTACCGTCCAGTAAGATATTCCAGCCTCTTTAGGTCATTAAAAAAATATTTTTCGTTGTAGTTAAAAAAAAAAAAAAAAAAAAAAAAACACGAACAAAACAAAACAAACAAAAATCTAAATTAATGCCGAACCTCAATTTCGTACATTCGGTCGGGCGTCGCCAACACAATATTTTTTTTTTATTTGGCCTTATAAAATAACTGTATGCTATGAGTAACACGAATTCAATTCAAAAAAAAAATATTAATTTGATATAGGCCTATTATACAAATGATAATATAATTCAATAATAAATGCAATAATGAATAATACAGAATTAAATAATGGAAAAGAACTTTATATTTTTTTAATGATGACATTGTAAATATATATTTTGATACTATATGAATATATTTTTTTAAATGTTTAATTTGTATTTTAAAGTTTCATTTGTAGCCAATGAACGTCTTTAAAAAAATCATTACCAGTCCGCTTCACCATCTCATCTCTACTTGTTACAACTTCACCGTAGATAAATACCTGAATATATGAAAAAATAAATAAATACGATGCCTACGTAGTATAAACTACATTCTTTTGCTTAAGAATCTTTGAATACACCACGAGTATGTTCTATATATAGGTTTTATACGCATTTTAAATACGCATAATTAAAATCTTGAAAATGAATTAGGCTATCTTGTATTTTTATGGTATTGTATACATTTATTTAGCCAACTTCTTGTATTTTAATTTGGTATAGAAATGGAAAATATTTGAAAAAATAGAGTTTAGTGTATCCGGTTTGCAAAACAAAGTCTGAGACAACTAAATTATAGTTAGGCCTATAGAAGATTATTGTAGCCTACTTGTCTCAGCTCAGACGAATTTTTTGTATTGTTATTGCTGATCACGTTTTAGCTTTATTATATTACAAAAGACTAACAATAAAACATTAAGAAACTTCTGGAGAGAAAGTGTGCACTAGTCCTGATAGGTTTAGATTCACTAGCTGCATTTTGCATACGTAACTGATTTTCGGCTGCAAAACAGTATTACAGTATTACTATAGCATATCCGCCTTATTATACACACGGTTATGCACACGAGCCGAACTGTTTGCACACGTTTCGTAAGTGCCTTACGAAATGACGTCACATTTTTTCACACGCACTTCATGGCAGATTGTATATAACCCACGTTGCTGTATTGATGATTCTTCACACTAAGTGAATTTATTCATTGATTGAGAGACTGGAGACTCGAAATCTACGTTGTTCAACTTCTTTACCATTGTGAGAAATTCAACAAATTTTCAAGATGCCAAATCCATGCGATTGCAAGACAAGTAAGTATTCCGAACGTCTTTTTACTATTTAATTTCTTTAAGTATCTACTGATCTTTTGACGACTAAAGTCGTCTATTGTTGTGAATGGGTTTTAATCTATTTTTGTCCTACAGTATGTGGTATGTTTAGGTTTAGGCTGCATTTGAGTTCACACAGTCAACTCAGTGACTGGGTGCTTAGTTAAGTCAGTCACAGTTAATACCACGTCGGAGCTTTTACACCCATTATTCTGTCTTCCCGAAGCCCGAAGGGCGGGCCGGGCCGTCCCCCTCCCCCTAAATCTGCCCCTGGTTGTTAGGCCTACTTATAATGTTAAATAACCTATGCTTGGTTGGTGTGCTAATTTAATCAAGTGATTGTTTAGTATATTATTGGTGTGCGATAATAGTATATACCCAATATTTATGGAATTTCAAAATTTGATTATTCCCATAATAATTAATATGTAAACTTTCGTTTTTGTGAATCAATAATAAGGTCCGTCTGTTCATTGTTTACACACTGTGTTATATGTGTTTAAAAAATAATCATTTTGTTAAGACTTACTTAAGCCTACATCGACTGGGGCGTGACTTACTACAGTATGTGCTCATAGTCCTCCTAATGATATAATGGGTTTTCCCCTTTCAATTTGCAGCTGGAAACTGTATCTGTGCTAGCCAGGAGTGTCCAGATGGCTGCAAAAACTGCAGCTGCGGCTCTGGATGCGAGTGCAAGGAAGGCGGATCATGCGCATGCAAGGGTGCTGCTGACTGCTGTCAAGGTGAGTTTGACAAAATATTAATTTAATATTTGTTAATATTAATCTCAATTTCCATTGAGAATTAATGATTGGGTCAGGGTGACCAATTGTACCATGTAGATAATTTCATTATAGTAGATGTTTTGTTAAGTTTGAGGAGGAGGGTGGGGGAAGGGGGTCATTGCAGTTCTTGTGTCCCAGATTTTAGCTACTGGTAATGATATGCATGTTATTATGTATACTTGAATAAATAAATGTAAGACGGTGTATATATTCACACCATTTGTAAACCCATAGAAATATGCTATTCTTACGCAATTAAATCTGTGCATACTTAATGACCCTACCTTTTGTGAGGTAATGGTTTAATAATGGAGGCTCGCTTAAAAAAATGTTGTTCCAGGATTACTGTCAATTGATTGGCCTAGGACTGGTGTAACAATAGCCGCTATATAAATATGAATGTATTGAATAGTGATGCAACACAATGTATAGCAAACAGGACAGAAATTGAATCTTTGTATTGGTATCAACCAAACTTTTTAGTCTTTCATAAGGAAATATAAGCATTATTTATATATGCATAAAACCTGCACCATGTATATTTTATGTACAATATTCAGGGACAATAAAATACATTTGGATGTGGGGAAAAAATATTTGATGTGAAACCTCGTCTGAAGGCCATGGCTTGAATGGGGGAAGGGGAGTTGTAGAATATGCATGCTGTGCTTATTTGGTGGAAATAAATTGAATAAATTAAATTGGAAAAATGGCCTTCAGGGCCCCAACTCTGCACTTAACTAAATGTTATTTGGTTTCCATAAAATTACTAAATGCTATTGATGACAATTATATACTTTTTTTTAAATATTTACAGGATCTGCATGCAAGTGTGGGCCAGAATGCAAGTGCCCTGCTGGCTGTGCCTGCTGCAACTAGGCTGTGTGTACCGTAGGCCTAGCCTGCATCAAAATTCAGTAAGCTATTTTCCTTCTCTTGGGGGTTGTTTATGATTGGCTGTGAAATGAGTAATAACAAGTTTGTTATTGACCATATGCTGAGTTTTATAAGGAAACAGTTGGGAAATGGATATTTGGTTTGAAATTGGATTTTAATGTATAGTAAAAGGTCTAAAAAAATCCTTGAGTGGTTATCTAAGCTAATTTAATTGAAGTGATAGTCAAAACGTTTGGTCTCGCATATGACATTTCAATAAGGCTGAATTCTTTTATTGGGACATTTGGCCACACATATGAAATTTCAATAAGGCTGAATTCTTTTATTGGGACATTTGGCCACACATATGAAATTTCAATAAGGTTGAATTCATTTATTTGGATGTTCTGTTGGAAGAAATATGGAAAGCAAAGATTATAGCAATTACAGTATTATTGAAGCATTTGTTAGTTAGCAGAAGCTAAAAGAAAATAATTACTAATTATTTATGCATAAATAATAATGTATAATTATATATGTATGTAGGTATGTGTATATATGTACACATACATTTATACATGTATTTATACATTTATACATGTACATGTTTATGTGTGTATATATTTATCTGATTTGAATCTGTTCAACCATGAAGACTCTGTGGTCTAATGGTTATGACGCTCGCCTTTATTCGAACACTGTATTTATCTTTCTTTGATGATTTGTGTGTTTGTTTATTAGCTACTAGTTTAAAAATTAAATAAAATATATATAAAAAAATATATGAATTCATTATATATTTATATCTTCCAGGTATGTCAACAGTGAACCATCCATCCAATTGCAACTGGTCTACCAGTTTGTTACCATGGAGACGTGCACTATTTCACTCACTGAGAATCTATAGCCATGAAAATGTATTGACCTTTTGACTGCTGAATTCAAATTCGCATATTTTTTATAGTACACAGTGTAGCACGAACAGTAATGTTATGTAATCCCAAAGATTTGTATCCTTGCCACTATTTTTTTTAATGAATCATTAATACCAATGGTGGACATTTGAACAACTGTATTTCTTTTGTATATAATCCGGAATAAAGTCTTAGATATTTCAGTATACAGTATCAGTGTTTCATTCTTCATGTGAATGCATTCTTGTGAAATGTAGAGTGGTGTTTCATCGGTGCAGTGGTGGGGTAGGAAGGGGATGATAGGCCTGAAGAATGCACTTATTACGACAGCGAACCAAAAACAGTGTGTATAATTTATTTAATTGAAAACAGTTGGGCTAAGCCTGTTGTCTGATCTTCCACCTATGCCTAGGTAGGAAGCATGCCTTTTGTAAGCCAGGACCCAGTTGTATTTTGTTACGTTTCTTTATAGAGGGGGGTTTATCTGAACCCCTTGAACCCCCCTGGATCCGCCACTGGGATAACTTTATTAGATATGATACCATTAAGAACATTAGAGCAAGACGCCTATTACAATAGAACAATATAATGGCAAAAAAACAAATTAGACCAAGACGGATTCAGGCAGATATCTTCCACTTGGTTAATTGGCACAAGTCCAAACTTACGTATGTGTTGCCAATGAGAGAGTGTGAAAACGTGCGGTGCAGTGTGGAAGTGACTAGCAGAAGGCCGACGTAGATGGAAAACTTTAGACGGATACGTTCTGCTGGGGACTGCCAGATCCTGTTGATGATGGTGTTGATTAATTTAAATATGCAGCTGACAATCTTATTTAAATGTTTGAGGTGTTGGGTCAGACAAGTCAAGCCCCCAACCGGTCGAGCTCATCGGACCAAAAAAAAAATTTTTTAATAGGCTTCATCAAGCCAAAAAAGTCGTAGAGTGCCATTTTTGGCCATCCAGGTCCCTATTTAATGCAAAATCTCATTTCGGAAGGGGGGGGGGGAGAAAAGAGAGACACCCACTCCCAAACCCCCCTCCTCAGGCATACAAGCTCCAGCCCCCTGTCAGACAGCTTAGCCCCATTAAATGTATCCTAGAGCCGCCACTGGGCAGATCTGGAAATTTGAAGTAGTGGGGGCTCAGGAAGGGACTTCTACAGACAGTTTAGGCTAAGGGAAGAAAATTTGATTTTGGCAGATCTAGATGGCCAAAAATTGCACTCTCAGACCCAAATTTAATTATAATTTTCCTCTTTTTGTTCCCCATTGTTTTTATAATTTTCAAAAATTCAGGGAAGGCCCAGGCTGGCTTTTCCCCCGCCTCCTCTAATCCACTGCTGCGATTACATACAACATATGGACCATAACATCATTAGTGAGGAACATCTCTTGCGACACCAATCGTTAGCAAAAATACACAGTATTACAAGAGTTTTTTAAATTACTTTAAATTCGAGCCAATATTATATGGGGCAAGATTGTGCAATACAGCTGCCTTTAGTTCAGTACTCAAAACATTTATTATTTATGATATACAGGACAGGAGACTGCAAGAAATGTGCATACATTTCGCAATGATTTCTTCTGCATGCGTAGACATATTTTATAGACAAGTATATAATTAATGACTATTATGTGTACAAAGTTTTTCAAAAACAGGAAGCAACCGATTTGAAAGGTTTTGTGCTTTTATTCTAAAATATTCCATACATTTATTTATCTCTGCTTTCAGATTTTACACATAAATCATTATTATAACACGAATATATGTAAATAAATTAATATATGAAAACGATTAACTAGGATCTTTAATGGCAGATAAAAATATCTTTTCACGTAGGATACTCACAGAAACAACATAATTTAAATACAAACATTAAAAAGGCAAATTATACGCCATGCTTAAAATATTGGAACCACGCTTCAAAAAAATATTAATGCAAATGCAAGGTCAATAAACAGACTTAGCGTGTCACTTGCTATGCACTAAAAAAGCAATTGTTTGTATCCACCCTTTAGAATTTTGTGCACCACCCTTAAAATTTTGAGGACATTTTCTGAAATTACCCCATTCTTTAAAAATCCTGGTGAAAGGGTTGCCATGGGGAACATAAGACAATGTGGAGAGGGTGAAAACAGTTCCATAATAAAAATACTGTCCCTAAAGGTAAAATTTGACAATGTTAAGGAGAACCTCAGACGACAAAAGAATTCCCCTTAAAATATGTTTTAAATGTAGTAGTAGTATCCGACGACAAGCAATAAAAAAAAATTAAACTGGAACAACTCTCTCGACACGAAATGTTCAGTGTATCATACAAACGTTTAAATACCTGCCTCTGACCACAAGCAATCAAGACAAGACTAGACAAGAACGACTCGCTCGACATGAACATTTTAGTTTATTGTTAGTTTATTTACAAACATTCAAATACCTCCGACCGCAAGCAATCAAGGAAAGACTAGACAAGAACAAACTCGCGCGACACGAAAAGTTTAGTGTATTATACAAACGTTGAGACCGCTACACAACGGCCTTTGCTTCGAGATTTGAGCATGAAGGCAAGGCAAAAGCAGCTTTCTTAGCTACGTTTTTTGTCCACTGATCGGTTAAAAAACGTATTTCATTTTTATTTTATCACTGAAAAACGACTACAGTAAAATTTTTAGCCCATAAATATGATGTGTGTGAAGAAAACATTAAACAATATTTTAATTTGGACCTTCAAAAGCAGTTAAAAAGAAATTGCTATGAAATTTTAGGGGGGGGGGGGCGCTAAAGCCTGTTTAGCCCCCCTCTAAATCCGCCCCTGATTTTCCTCTTTTTTCTCCATTGTTTTCATAATTTAAAAAATTCAGGGGAGGCCCGGGCTGGCTTTTCCCCCGCCTCCTTGAATCCACTGCTGCAATTACATACAACATATGGACCATAACAACATTAGTGAGGAAAATCTCTTGCGACACCAATCGTTAGCAATAATACACAGTATTACAAGATTTTAAAAAAATTACTTTAAATTCGAGCCAATATTATATGGGGCAAGATTGCGCAAAACAGCTGCCTTTAGTTCAGTACTCAAAACATTTATTATTTATGATATACAGGACAGGAGACTGCAAGAAATGTGCATACATTTCGCAATGATTTCTTCTGCATGCTTAGACATATTTTTTTATTATATAATTAATGACTATTATGTGTACAAAGTTTTTCAAAAACAGGAAGCAACTGATTTGAAGGGTTTTGTGCTTTTATTCTAAAATATTCCGTATATTTATTTATCTCTGCTTTCAGATTTTACACATAAATCTAAATTTCCTGTTGAGAATTACTGTAAAGGTACCGTACATTAAAAGGTATGATGTAAAGGAAATATTAGCTTTTCCTTCCTGGGACGTCTCAGCTGCTAAAAAGTATTCAATCAATAAATGCAGTCATTCTAGTCAAATTTAGTACTAAATCCTGGAGCTTATCCCCAGTTTCAAGTAGCGTGAAGCGGATGAGAGCATGATGCTGGTCCACCGCAGGTTATTACTAGTAATTTTCTGAGCACACATGTGTTAGCTTTCGTACAAGAAAGGATGGTATAATTAATTTTACATTTTCCTCATAAATTGTAACATTTTACCTGACCATTAGGCCTGTTGATACAGCTGGGTAGACAGAAACAATGTAGATAAAGTGCCTTGCTCAAGGACACACGTGAAACGCACAGCTAAGGATTGAAACCATAACCTTTAGGTTGCGAAATCAAACCATTTCCACTGAGCCAAACCACCTCCACTATTCAAATTTGCTGTTAATACATTCTGTTTTTATTTACATTCCTTTTTTCATCTTGCTTTCTTATATCAAATACAGTCCATCGTCATTGATTTTTTTTTTTAATTATCTGTACGTATTGCAGTTTATGTCTACTATGGTTGAGGGATATCGGAATAACACTTGGTGTTGATGTGATCATTTGAGTTTCTGTCCTGTAATTTGATTTAATGTACTGTCTAATTTTTTTTATATATCCATGTTTAAATTTGATTTAATGTTGATGTGATCAATTTAGTTTACATTTCTTTTTACTCGTTTTTACCTGTAATCGTGTAATTTCGCTTTTTAATGTACTGTTTTAATGACCCAACCAGGGCAATGTAAATAATGTGCCATTTAGATTCGTCTACAATACATTATACTGCCTTCTGTTCCCCCGTTATTTATTTATTCACTTACTCATTTTTTATGGTAACTTTGTTGTTATTATGACTTAATTGTAATTTTAACTTTTTTTGCCTGAATTTTGTATATTGAATATTGAATAAAAAATCCATGAATGAATGAATGAACAGGAACCCATGATTAGTGTAGATAAACTTGATGTGAATGCATAGGTTGAGGCTTAGGGTTTCTAATGATAAATAAAATTCTTGACTGGGAAATACTGCTTGTCCCTAGCTAGGCAATGTATTTTTCTCATCACACAGGAGAATAAATGGGTACCTGTGACAGGAGCTTATGACAAGACTTTCTTTATACCTTGTTTAGCGTACGCGCCACCCGCCAATAATGATTTTGAATAAAAATAAAATTTTATTTAATGGCAAATTGAAGCACACTCCGCCACGAAAAAAATGGGAATTTTAGAAAAAAAATGTTTTTTTTTTTTTTAATTATCCCCACAGTTGCCTTGAAATCAACGAAAATAGGATATTTCTTCCTAATTATATAAATTTAATTGTTGTTTTTAATACAATTAAACTTGCTTAAGTCGAATCTGCCTAACTGAAATAATAGACGATCTTATTTTTCATGCCAAATTGTTTTGTTTCCATTAATTAAAAAAAACGGCAAGTCAATTTTATCTAAGTTAAACGATTTTCAATGCCATTTTGGATTTGACTTAGGCAATTTCAACTGTACTGATATAAATAGAGTGAAGAAGTTTGCATGTAAAGCAGAGCACTGGAAGTCTTAAATGTGAAGTGTACAGAAATATTTGGTGTGAAATCATTAAATGGGAGCAATTGTTGCAATGTGTTGTAATATTACTATGGTTTCACTATGCATTGCCATGCGCTGCTGATTCAGCACTTAATCCTTGACATCTTAGCTATATAGTAATTGTTTTAAAAAAAAGTTGACACAATACTGTTACTAGAAAGACACTACAGTTAAACTTGCCCAAGTCGAATAATTTCTAAGTCGTCTAATTTTACATGGCAAATTGTTGTGTATTCCATTATTTAACAATCTGTACGCCGAATTTTATCCAAGTCGAACAATATTTCAATGGCATTTTGCATTTGACTTTGGCAAGTCCAACTGTATTACTGTATATACAATGCTCATTATAATGATGGTACCACAACACTCTGTAAACTGTTAATCATTAACACCTTCAATTATGGGTTTGGATGATGGATTATTCTTGAAGACACAAACCATGCCACAAGCAGAACTTGTGTAGCAAGCTTTGTTTCTCATCTGTTGACAGTGCTTCCTATTTGCAGTAGATGGATAGATACTGTAGATGATTGGCACAGGTTGAGTTGATCAAAATGTTAACATTATCCGACCTTTCCCTCCCCAAAGACACTGCTCAGTCAAGCTAAGTATTATAGTTGGGCCGTCCAATCATACGGTTGATGGACCATTGCTATCATGTTTAGTCTGTCTTGAGGTGGCAATAATGAGTCTATAATTATAAGCTATAAGCAATCATAAGCAAGATTATGCAATAATAAATGAATGGATCATAAAATTTAGTGGAATGGTACATAATAATGGAAGAAATACCCCTTTAAATTTTTGAATGAACGGTCAAATGACAAGGTCAAAGAAATTCGATTTGATACACGCTACCATAAAGATATCCCCTTTCTATTTTCGAATGAAAAAGTCAAAGGACAAGGTCATGGAAATTTGCCAGTTGCCAGGTTCTTGGAAAATTTCATTTCAAATTTAGCAAAAAGTGTACACTCAACAAGACCTTAGCTAAGACTGTATGATAGCAATGGAGGCTTTGTAACGTATAAACAAAAGAGATGGTTATAAAATAATTAGTTTGTATTAGCGGTTTGAAATTATCTGTGAGAGTTCATACAACATAAACGATGTTTAGTTGTTACATTTTCAAACAAAACTGACAAGAAATAAAGCAAAAAGAAAGATCTTTGTATCGGCTGTACACTTATGCTTTAATTTTCCATAATTTCTACAAGAATTTCAAGCACTAACTTTAGATTAGTCTTCATTGTCGACATTTATGGTCTGTAGGCCTGAAATGAAAAGAAATTAAGAAATCAATAAAATATATTATACTGTATTATAACATTTTTGAAGCAAATGTATTTTAGAGAATTTGGATATTTTCATCTTTAAATTAATAAAAACTATTTTTTTTAAATATCTGTGACTTGTTAAAAAAATGTCAAACTACATTTCAAGATTTTAGCAAAATTGTTCGTTTTTATTAATTTAAAATAATTTCAGCTTTGGGCCATCTCATTTGTAATCTTATCGCCTGGTTGTATGGAATGCAGTGTGATGTAAACAGTTTAGTAGCAACTTTCATAAATGCTTTATAATGATTTACTGTAATTAAGAAGACAAAATAGATTTTCATTTGAGAGTTTGGCTTTCTTTCACAACAAAGCATTTACTAACAACTCAAAACTGAAAATTTATTTTTATTCAGCAAAATGATTATCTACAGGGGTATGGTTTTCGTATAAAATCTCGCGTTAGGTTGAACAAGTAACTTACCTTTGAATCCTGTGACCGGAACATGTGTAACTAATGTGTACAATTTATTAGCGGAGTCTTCATCTTCGTTCCTTTTCCTTGCCAGCCTGACGCGTACTCTGTAGGGTACACTCCTATGAAGATGATACAGAAAACAAATTACTGTACAGAAATATTATGCAGTATGGATCAGGGCCAGCTCCAGAGAAATGTGCTTGTTTAGTCTTGTGTCTATCCTTACATCACTGGTTCCCATCATCTTGGTGGCAAATGTCTTAATTTCCTTGATGGCACGAGGGGCCCTTCGTTTGAATGAGCTGCAAATAACAATTAACATTTTTTTTTAAATACCAAAATGTAATAAAATTACTTTTGAAGAGGGATATATATTTTGTTCAAGCCCTTCTTTCTGGCTACCAGGTGGTAGCAATTTTCACTCGATGCAACAAAGGGGTCATCGATTTTATATTTTTATAAAAGCCACTGTTGACTCCCCCAATATACAACCCACTTATATAGACAGTAATTATGATGCCACACACCTATTTTAGTAGTGATTTTCAAAGCAAATTTGAGTTGGTTTTCAAGATATCTTCTGCACAAAATCAAATTAAAGTGTGGCACCTTCCTAACATACTTCCCAACAAGATTTACCACTATCCTTTGTATCGAACCCACGACCAATGTCTAAGGGAAATATACTTACACGCCATGGATTCTCTTGTGAAGATGGATGGTGTACTCGCGTGTTACCACCTCATTCAAGGCTGAACGGCTCTTCTTCTCACCTTTTTTTGCCATCTGAGAAAAAAAAGAAAGAATATAAGTAGCCAAGTTTTTAAGATCAGCTAAAAAGTGATTTAGAGTAAAACACTAGGCCTACATAAATAACTTTAAATTTATGAATACCCCTCCCTTGGTACTACTGACAATTAGAAGTGGGCCGGTATGCCGGTTAGTTAGGCCCTACCTAGCCTAGCCTAGCTTGAAACGTATGCTTGCTAGTAAGTGGGTTAGTCTGCAATACCCTTGCTTCGCTAGGCCCAGCCAGGCGAATTACCAGCCAGGCAGGGTGTCTGGTTTAAAGTGACCCGGCCTGGGGTCTAGCAACGATGAATAAAGACTGGGCCTAGGCTAGCCGGATTCGGCCTAGCCTAGTTCATCAATGTAAATGAGTACGTGAGTGAGGAGGTCATGTTTTTCAATGCATTTTAGTAAAAGAAACACTTTGAAATTATTATCAAAATTTATATTTATCAACATAAAAATTGACACTGAATCTATTTCAACAGGTTAAACAATATTTTGAAATATGATTAATATGATAAAATGAGATTTATTTAGGATAGCACTACAACGAAACTTACGTTCACGAAAGGGAACTTAATAGAGGAAGTTCTGAGGGCTGATGGGAAGGCAATACAGCTAAGTGAACTGATAGAGGGAGATATTTACTGAGACGCTGAGCCATGGGCCCGGATTTTTTTTATATGCACAATTCATTTAAATAATTCTACTTAATCGTATCATACTCCAAGTATCGAAATGCACGCCATCGTGTCGGGATTCAATATTTCAACATTAATTATGTCATCATCATTAGCGTGTAGGGATTCAATATTTCGACATTAATTATGTCATCATCATTATCGTGTCGGGATTCAATATTTCGACATTAATCATGTCATCATCATTCCTGAAATGACATAATTAATGTCGAAATATTAATCCCGACACGATGGCGTGCATTTCGATACTTCGAGTATACGATCTTACCTGAGATTAATCAGTGGACAATTCTACTTATTAACCTAAAAATATACTATTATAAACACTTTATCAAAAAACATAAAATTACTAGCACTTAATAAAGAAAAATAAAATTCAACCGTGTGGTCTGGTCCCCTACTGACTGACACTCCTCTGAAGGTGCGCTTAATGACATATTAGATTAATGTTACCATGAAGTAACATTAATTTCATGACATATTAAATTAATGTTACAACTACAAGTAACATTAATTTAATGACATAGAAAATTAATGTTACTAGTACATTTTTTTAGATAGCCTATTACAATATAATTTTTCGGAGCAAGTTTTGTAGCGAAAGTATTGCTACAGAGTAACGCATTATCCAGATACGTAGGCCTCTGACACGAAATAAAACAATCTTATTGCGATTGTTTATCCAAAAAAAAAGTGATGCGCCGCGCCCAATTGAATAGAGAGCTTATCGCTGAGGCTGACACAATGTACAGTATTTGCAAAGTTACGGTAACACATAGCAAATTTACCATTAACTGCAAATAAACTAAATGTTAATTTTTTTTTAGATATAGTAGAATGAAGTTTCATCCTGAGATAACTGTACTGTTTGTCCGACGGGGTGTCCGAGATCCCAGACGGGAAAAAAAATGGGGCCGCCGTCGGCGTCACCCAAAATGACATAATAATATGACATAATATTAAAATATGACAATATATGAGTTTCAAAGGCTTATTTAATCGGCTTTGGAGTCTACAAAAATATTTCTCCCCGACGAATTGTGGTTTTTCTCCCTGACCGGGGATGGGGAAGCTCTCTCGACGACAAGGGGGGAGGGGGATAACCCCTGTCTCTACTGGCACCACCCATGGACACAATCTACTTGCGTTTTAAATTTCCTTTTAACATATGGGTTCTTGTGACAAGCAACCCCCTGAAAAAATCACGTTCTACTAATATATAATAATAATAATGTTATTATTATTATTACTAATAATATTACATAATTAATAATATTATTATTATTACTAAGTATTATTATTATTATTACTAATAATATTACATAATTAATAATAATAATATTATTATTATTACTAACTATTATTATTATTATTATTATTATTGTAGCTGGTTCATCGTCATCAAACATAATGTCACTAAGCAGTTATATCAAGCTATCTTCACCACTCTGCCGTGGGCATCATCATAATCCTAATTATCATCCCCATCATAATTATCAAATATCATCAACAATGAAAAAAGTTAGTTTTCAAGCACCGTGCACAAGAAACGGAACTGACGTAAATTTCATGTTTCATTCACATTTCTTTATTAACATTATCTTTAAAAAAAAATCCAATTTAAAAAATATGTTTTAACAATCTTATGCCTCAGGTACTAGGCTATATAGACAAAAAGGATACCTAAATCATTGGAAGTCTCCATTAGGTCAACGTTCCGCTGCAGGTTAAAGTTTCATTTTTCATTCCATTTCATTTCTTTAGGCACGAGGGCCAAGGATATGCCAATAAGTGAACTTAATCACTGTCCTACGTGGCATATCCATTTAACAACAGGGGACTTAATGACCAGTACACCGGGGTAACACCCTAATCTTCTCGAATGATGTACTGGGTTCTTTAAAGTGCACACGAACCAAATGCGTACACTGGCCCTACGGTTTAAAGTCCTTATCCGAGAAGACTTGTTCCACCACCGGAACCATTGGCGAGTGAGCCGTTCGAACCAGCACAAAAAATTCAAAAAAAAAAAAAAAAAATTAAAATTGATGAATTAACGTTTGGATCTGTGCTATAATCAAGTGTTATAATAATGCTTAATACCCATATGTATAATATGGCATCTCAGCCGGAAACAGCTTAAATTGTTCAAAGCATGTGTTTACAGTATATGGTATAAGTAATAATAATAAGTAATAATAATAATAATAATAATAATAATAATAATAATAATAATAATAATAATAATAACAATAATAATAATAATAATAATATTTATTTGGAAATCGATTTTGAAAAACAGCGGTACCCATCACTTTGATGGTGCATCCAAACACAAGCAATATAAACACATCAATCAATCAAAAGGCCTAGTACAACTACAATGTAAAAAAAAGGAAATACCAAAACAAAAATAAAACATTAAATCAATGTACATTATATGATTTAGGTGAATACATAAAAATGTAAACAAGTAGTTATTTGACCAAAGAGAAAACTGTAGGGGTGTAGCCATTAACAAGTGAATTATTTTAGGCTTATCTTAAGTAAAAGTCCAATGTTCGTGACAAGGAATCATGTACGTCCTTGCTCAACTCAATAGTGGCGATGATCTCAACTATGGGAGGCCGAAGGTTTGGGTTTAAGAAGTTCATCGATAGAAAACATCTGACATTTCAAGCTCAGCGGTGCGTAGTAATTATTCTGTGGAGTCCCATACTCCATCGGCACAATTGTTTCTTCGACTGGTTGGTTCGAATAATAGTCGATTAAACGTACAGAGCCCGGTTTTTTGATGATCGACACGACACTTGATGTCGTGTTCAGATATCTCACCCATTCGTTGTAAGTATTGATAGAGACATTGTATGCAGTTCCATCGACGACGATAATGCACGGTAAATCGACTTGCCATCCATCTTGCAGACGAAATTTGTACTTTTTATTCCTCTTCATGTATACAGCGTTAGTGATAGTTTGGCGAACAAATCTCTTTGCATTCGGTGAAGCTACTTTCTCCGGGCAAATGATGGTGATATTGTCCATTATTTCACGGACACCTCCCGTTTGACGAGGACAGCGGAGTAAAGCTGCTACGATGAGTTCTTTTATGGACATCAAATGCATCATCTTGACTGAAGTCAGTTCGGAAAATAGCACGACAGACATAATTCAGTTAGTTGTGATTGCGAGGCCAGACAATTCCGTCTAATGCATTGAATAAAGCAGTTCGACTTTATAACTGGATGCTACTCATAAACTTATTTTAAATAAACAAACCACACAATGAGAGCACAGAATCAAACAAAAGAAAATGCTAGCACGCGCTGTTTTTGAATACGGTCGCGTATTTTAAGTAGGAGGCCTACGCCTATGTAAGTAACTTTTAGGCGATCATAGTGTTATTAAGTGAGAACATATTTCTCATGCTTCTTTTAGGCCGTATATTGTTCCGACGATATGTGGCGTTCCGAGGTTGATTGATGGAGCTTGCGGAGCTTGATGCGGTTTTTGGACAAAACGGCAATAAACCAAAATTATTCAAAACGGCAATGACCAAAACGGCAATAAACCAAAACGGCAGCACTTTTTACCAGAACGGCAATAAGTCAAAACGGCAAGACCAAAACGATGCTAAACAATTTACGTCATAAAAGTAAAAACGCGAAATATAAACTAATTATAAACATGGTGTACTACGATTAAATACGGTAAAAATGAGGCGGCAGCAGCAGCAATAAAATCATTAATATTAATATTAATATTAATAATAATAATAATAATAATAATAATAATAATAATAATAATAATAATAATAATAATAATAATAATAATAATAATAATAATAATAATAATAATAATAATAATAATAATA